ACTTTATTTTTTCTTCGAATTACCAACCATAACCAAGGCACATTATTGAGAAATTCTTCAAGATCTTGTTTTTGACATCTTATGACTTTTAATGAAGATGGGAACATTGACAGTGAAATAATATAATAGCCAATGCTCGGTGAGAGGTTTTCATTTACAAAATTTTGTTTTTGTTCTCAAATTGATTTTTGTTTTATTACCTTGTCTCCATAGTTACTAATTGCAAATAGTCAATAATATTGTAGGTCCATTTTATTGTTGTTCTTTCTACGTGCCGTTATAACACATTTTCATCTCATCATTTAATTTCTGTTGTGCATATGTTGTTGTATAGAAGATATTTTAAAGTGATTCATCAGGTGGAAAACGAAGTTTTATAATAATGGAATGTACGAAAAGTGACTCAAAAAACGGCGCTAACTCAGTAACCCGTGGCTCGATTATAACGAAACTTGTTTTATTCTGTTTCTATTCTCATTTCATTACAAATATGGCACTATTGTGCACTGTTTTTGCTGTATTTAATTACAGACAAACACACAAACAAACAAACAATCTCAGAGTTTTAGTAGTATATAGATATTCTATTTAAAGAATGCATCTTAAATTATCTATTTAATAGTAATTTATTTTATGCAACTATTATTACTTTAAAAATTGTAATTTGCAATGGTTATATGTTACTTTATTAAATTTATATTGAATGTCATGAAAGCACAAGTGGTGTTTTAAATTTTTTTGTAAGAAATTGTATTTTCTTTTGGAAATAAACAAGTTTTGTTTATGCTAGTTTTCAAGTCTAAATGAAAGGTTATTTAACATGTATCTTATATGTGCCAATGAGTTAAGAAATGGTATTCGATGGCGAGGAACCCACTTTGAGACTAATAATGCTCGGAGACAGTTTGAATGAATAATGAAGAAAAACTTTAATATAAGTTTAACATAGCAGCAAATTTGTGTGATGATGACAAAACCATGTCAAAACATTGTACATTTGCTGTTATGTTAAACTTATGTTAGAGTTTTTCTTCATTACCCATTCAAGCCGTCTCCAAGCATTATAAGAAATGGTATATTTAGATTTATATAAAGAGAGGAGGCTGCCAGTTAAAGTTGGATTGAAGAGGACATATGAAAATGCAAAAACCTTTTACTAATATAAATTTGTTGTTGTTCTGTTATTGTGGATTTAATTTTAGATTCCTTTGCACAGTACTGTGTATTTACCTACTATTAAACCATTATATACTTATTAGTGGTCACGTATTTGCAGTATTGCTTATATAACATCACAAGCTGGTGTTTATTACACAAATCAGTGAAAGTAATGAACAAAATGACTTTAGCCACTAGTCTGGAGAATTGTTACTGGTTCAAAGCTGACACCAATGTAAGAAAGTCTTTCTAATTCTTCAGAATAACTTAGTGTTCAGTGAAAACTGATTTCTCAAACATTAACTGTATAACTTAAATTGATATTGAAGATGACTGGCTTCTGGTACATGCTACTGTTAAGCTATGGAATTGGTAGCAAAGAGATACAGATGATAAACTTTGAAATCCTGCAAAAAATAATAATCATTGTATACATATTTATGATAACAAGTAGAATGAAAAATACAAACTTGATGATTTTAACCACTGTCTAAATACTCCAAGCATGTTTAGCAGTTTCTAGAGCAAACCTAAAACAACATATTATACTCCAAGCATGTTTAGCAGTTTCTAGAGCAAACCTAAAACAACATACTATGGATAATTATTTTTTAATACAGAAGATATATTTATACTGTAGGTTTAACGATTAAAACAGTTCAGCCTTTACTTGATTGGTTCCCTGGTGGGTCACCTGTATGTTTATGGATTTAAAATGCTATAATCCAGGGTTTGATTTTTCATGGTGGATAGAGCACTGATATCCCATTGTATTAAAACAACAACTTTTTTATTGTTAAAATGTATATGAGATTATTTATAATGACACTGATTAGTAAAGGTAAATAATTTATGTTTTGTCAGTAAATCTTATTCAGTTTAATTAGAGTAATTTTTAATAACTGATGTTTCAGAACCTAGTTTATCTAAAACAATGCAATGTGCCAGATGAAAGGAATTAGACATATTTATCTAAAATATACTGTTGTCTTTCTAAGAGGTTACAATTAGCAGTAACTTGTTTTGGAGGTTGCAAGAAACAGTTGGAAACTAAGAATTGTGTATATGTATTAGTAGGAAATTAAACAATAATTTTGAGTTTATCTATATCTATCTATATATATATATATATATATATATATATATATATA